GATCCACGCTTTCTAAGGGCTGTCCTGTTGCCCTCATTTGTCCACTGCTTTCCTTACCTTCTTACTTGCAGGCAGAAGCTCCTGTTACACAGTCTGAGATCTACTCCCACATAACGGGACACCCAGCCCCCCCCCCCCCTTTTTTTTGTTTTGTTTTGTTTTGTCCCTTCTCACTTCTCCCTCTACCACTCCTTACCCCCACCCCACCACACACCATGTACAGACGATAACGCTACTTGAGGACCATTAGTCGTGTACAAATCCAGGGACAAAGACAACTCAAGACCCCTTCCATAATGGGAACACACACATCCTACCACAGATCGGACCCACGAACACCCTCACTCTCGACCAGATTATTTTTATACAAAATCACGCCACGAGACGGACAATCAAGGCGACACACACGGACTTCCACCCCCCAGTATAACTCCTCTGCAGGCGTTACTCAGAAATAGCACACTCCAAATCCGATGAACCCTACATCACGCTCGAAAACGAGACAACCATTCCCCCCTCACCTGCGATCCCACCCCAATCCGCAGACCACAATTAACTTATGACACAGAAATTAGATAGCCATAACGACATGACAAGCAGTTAGCCCCCATAGAGAGCAGACCAGAATAGCAATAGCAATCTCCCCTGGTCTGAATACCCCACTGCAAACCCCCCTCCAAAGGGGTGAGTCAGGGGACGCAGGAAAGGGAACCACAACACACACCGAACCAGGGGTAACAAAACACAAAAAGAGCTAGTACCCTTACCCCCATCCCTTTTTCTTCTGTACCCCACTCCAAACCCAAGAGGAAAGGAAGAAAATAGATAGAAACAAAACCGCTGTATAGACTATTACGTCATGTAAGTACTCGGACACTAAGCGATAAATAACCAATACTCGCAAATGTTATGTTAATCTACTAAGTAATGCAGACCAATGTTTGGCAAACCTGTATCGCTAACTTTTACTTCCCGACTTCTCTTCTGTACCCCTACCCCAAACGCAAACACCTTTCAAAATAAAGAATTTAAAAAAAAAATACTGAGATCTACTAAATAACACATTCTACTCTTGCCAGTATCAAGTGGGTCAAGTGGGTGTAATGCAGTTGCATTAACTAATTTACCATGGGCATAGACCAGGGGCAGGCAACTTTTAGCACTACGCATGTTATAAACTACATCTCCCATGATGCTCAAAGGAGATGTAGTCCACGACATATGTGGTAAGGAAGGATGCCTACCACTGGCCTGGTCAATAGGGACCCATTGAAAATAACATGTAGACGAGCATATCCCACAATGTGTGGCATTTCCTTGAATGTACATCCATGCTAGTCGATTGTCTATCACTAGAAGTAGCAATGCCAGTCTGGCTGGAACAGCGGATGTGAAAACAGCTCCCAGTATGATTAAGTCAGAAGGCCAATGCTGTAGACTTCTCATTCCAAGGAGAGCATTACTGAACCATGAAGATATTTACCTGCTTAGTTTACAATGTATGGAGAGCAGTGTTGCTCATAGTTTTAAAGAATCTGTGTGTAACAGTATAATTTAGTCTATGAATGTGTTTAATAATTAACTAGGTTCCTCTCTGCCTTTAATTATTTATTTTGACATAGTTCCCAATTCCACTTTAGTCAATCTCAAATTATTAGGGGACAGCAGGTCCCCTAATAAAAATGAAGGTAGCTCGAACGATGCCAACTGGAGTCTCTCGTTTCCAGTTACTGGTGAGGATTTCTACCATATGTATCCAAAAGTGGGAATTAAACTACTCCATGCTATACACTAGGAGCCATCAAAAGACTCCATAAACTGTAAGTGCACACCCATATAAATACCCACCCCATTCAGTACACCAAATATACTAAATATACTATACGTTTCTGTTTCTAAAAGTGCATTTCGTTTTATTTTCTCATATAAATATCTGACATAATAAACTATATTCCATCTTTTTGTCCTCTAGCATATTTGCCTGTATCTGAGGATTTTCAAGGGCGCTACTTCCCTTCTTTATATTTGCAATCACAAATAATTGCCTTCTATAACTATACAAGCCATTTTTATACTACATTGGTTGTCCTTCGCGTGATTAATCATATACTTACATGCTGTCTAATGCTGGATACAGAATCAAGACCCAATCATCCTGGCAATGTAAGCAGGGCCAGCACAGAGTCTCATATTGATGTAATAATTTCTGTTTAGTTTTGCGGTACTTTAGGACATTTATGGTGTAGAGTAAGATGAGCTCACAATCTAAATATAATAATGAATAATGTACAATATGATAATGTGCGGTGGAGAGAGAGAGGGCAAGTACCAGAAGGCCAAATATGAGATGTAGAGGACAGTTTCAAGCACCTGGGAGTACCACAAACATATGGTAATCATGAGGAAGCAGGAAGGATGATAGCAACATTCAAGTACCTCCAGAGAGTCAGACAGGTTCTGAAGTCCCATCTCAAGCGCAACAACAAGATCCAAGCCATAAGCACATGTGCCCTACAAGTCATTAGGTACCCAGCTGCACAGCTGGAATAATAACTTGGCTACAAGAAGAGCTGTCCGCCATTAGGTCATAAAGATGGCTCCCAAAGATGAACTGCTAAGGGAATGCCCGAGACAACAACAGATAAGATGCAGATAAAAGAGGATTCCATGGAAAGTCAAACCGCTCCATGTGGTGTACCACTGACACAACAGTACATGTGGCTCACATTATGAAATTCTACCAGTGGTTGGAAAAAGCAGGACTGAAAGAAAGCACTGAGTCACTAATCCTAGCAGCAGAGAAACAGGCACTCAGCACCAAATCAGTAGAAGCAAGGGTCTACCAGATGAGGCAAGACCCAAGGTGCAGACTGTGCAGAGGCCTTTGAGACAATCCAGATAGACAAGCAAGTACTGGCCAACCAACCAGGCATTGTGGTTGTAGAGAAGGAACAGAAGACTGCAATGGTGGTGGATGTGACAAAAACAGTGACTATCACATCAGGAAGAAGGAACATGAGAAGATGGGCGAATACGAAGGACTGAAAAAGGTTATGAAAAGTAAAGGCAGTATTAGTATCAGTTGTGATAGGAACACTTGAGGCTGTGACCCCCAAAGCTGTGGGAGTGGCTTTAACAGGTTCCAGGTGAGCCATCTAAGATCGCTGACCAGAAGAGTGCAGTTCTAGGAACAGCTAAGACACTGCACAGAACCCTCAGACTGCCAGGTTTCTGGTAGCCGACACGAGAATGAGGAATGCACAAAAATTTATAGCACCCATGATGGGTGAGAAAATCTATTTTATGACTACACGCAAGTTAAAAACATATAGGCAGTATGTAACTCATCTAGAATAAAAATATATACGTTTACACTTTCTAGATTACACAAAGAGTCACAGATCACCCAAGTGGGATCAGCTAAAGTTTCCATTTGACATTCAGGTCCAGTCCCTGTGAATAGGATTAGTACTGGGAGAACAATATATCAGATGTATCGGGTGTCACAGATGTAAAAGGGAGTGTAATAAATGGATTTCTAATGCTATGGTGTTCCTTTAAGGAGTCCTTTGGTGATGTACACATTTCTCTGGAAACAGAGATCATTTGGGTCATATGTAGTATGTATGCTTCTATCTTCTATGCAAAAAGAGAGAGAGAGAGACTGACTAACAGAATTTTCATCAGAGAGATGTTCAGTACTGCTCCACTAGCATATAAACCAGATTCGTTTTATCTCATACTTCCATAGACAAACATTCCGTCAGTTACTGTAATGCCTAATTTGTTTTAACACCGGTGACTTTTAAGTAAAGAATTTAAACTCAGACATTCTTGCAATGTCCCTATATCCTTTCCATATCTAACTAAAATACGCTACATTAAACATTACAACACTATACATACATTGTTCCACTATAAGGATTATTCAATTAAGTGAAAATTCAAAATGAATTAAAAGAGAATTTAAAATCTAAGGCCATACGAACTGAAAGCATTGCTGACTTAGACAGTTTTTCCCATTCAGTTATGTAGACCTTAAATTTAAAATTCACTTGGAATTCACCTTGAATTCTCACGTAAGTGCATACCCCTACTAATCTTACTACTCTTGTCCCTAGTAATGATGATTAAGTCTTAAAGATAAATATAGATTTATTATGTATTTAGAGATAAGAGCAGAGGCCGATTGGGTATCATTTTAGAATTAGAAAAACATTTACCTAACAGAAGTAACGTATTAGCTTTGGGTGTGGAGTGCTGAGCTGAGTAAAATTGTTGCCATTGAGTAGAACTTGCACAGCCTTCCTAAACACTTCCTGTAAGGAGATATCTAATGGTTAAACTTACTTTATTGCACATTCTATTTCATTTAGAATTGCTTAACTACTGATTTGTTAAAAGCTTGCTAAACATTGTAGGAGCCTCTGGTGTATTAAAGTTTAATATACAGAGCAGGAAATAAAAAACCTCTACAACAATATAACATCTGATTGAAAAATTTAAAAAACATTTCATGCAGGCTTTGTGAGTCATAATAAGGGTAATTATGGATAGGGCTACATAAACAGAAACAAACGTTATTTAACTCCTAAATGGCAGAGAATTGAGCAGTAAGACTTCAAAGGCATGATCTATACACCCAAACTGATTGATTACGGTAAAGTTGTTTTAGTGACTATAATGTCCCTTTACGACTAAAAAAATAAATAAGGTGTTTTCATATAGATAATGGCATGCGTAAGACTTTTGTTCAGAAAATTCCACTAGGACATGCATTGATTGACACCTGGGGGTCTGCAACAATGTCAGTTTATAAAAATGATGATTTCTCTTGAAATCGATACTTTTATCAACTGACAAGGGAAGAACACTCTGTAACCCCTAAAGGCAAGCTGCAATGATTTAGGGGTTTTGAGAGTTCCTTTAAATCTCTTTGGTTTATCACTGAGCAAAAAATAAATACATGAAAAATAAATATGGTAATAAATACTAAGCTGCTCTTCTGAAAAGCGCCTGCCCTGGTCTCTTTTATAAATGTGTTTCTTAAAACTATTAACCTTTCCAGCCTGTTGCTGTTGTAAACACAGATTTATGGGAGCTGTAATCCAAAAAAAAATGTTTCCAGATTGGTCGTTCCTGTTACATAGATCTTTGAGAAGTGGAAGGTAAGGGTTAATCTGTTGAGGAACTGTCTGGATTGCTCAATTAGATCATTTCCAGGTATGTATAACAGTACAAGGTATGTCAAAGCCTTTGTAAAAATGTATCTCAAACACATTTGTGAACACAAAAGAATTCTTTCCGCTTTGTTCCTTTTAACCCGTTTTCAGAATAAATCAAATATACACCTTAGTCAGACTATTCATATCTGGCACAAAGCCTTGCAGCGTATTATGTAATGCTGGTCTCTGAGGGCATTCCACTCATTTCTACAGAGTAGGACTTCCTGCACTATTAACCTCTACAAACCCTACTGGGATGTAATCCATGTATCTACTACTACTGTTTCAGTATAGCAGCTCTTCACTCGTTTCTCTCACGGAGTGAGCTTTTATTTTTTTAAAACCTATCACTATCTGTTCTTGATAGACCAGTGATAACTAACCGAGGCACTGGAAATATATTTCACAAGTGCTTTACGAGTCTGAAGTTTATAAAATCGAGGGCAGAAACACTTCCCTCGCAGCCAGACAAGTTTTCTTCCTCTTTCGTTAGCGGCACAGAGCTAATGGAAGTGGCAGGTGGTCTCAGAGACAAGCCTCTGATTGGAGTATTCGCCAGCACAGACTGAAAGTCTGCTGGGGGAAATGGGGAGAGCTGCAGAGAGCAGGGCTGCACCTTTAACAAGTTGTTTTTTTATACACTCCCCAAAAATCACATGCCAAAAGAAATATGTGCATGCTTTCTATAGTTGTACATCTACTAAATTGTTAAAAATAATATAAATGGAGCGTGCCTTTAAGCCTTCACTGATACAGACAGACATAAGGACACAATGGGGTAAACTGGACACAATATGGTGTCTGCATTCACGTAAATGAGAAATCAGAAAGAATGCAAAGTTAATTTTTAAAATCAATAAATCTCAGTCAGCTATACCTTCAATTCAGCTATGCTGGCTTTAAATTTGAAATTCAATTTGAATACTCGCTTTAATAAATTATACTGATATTGTTTCTGAACTTTCAGGCATATTCACAAGTAATTACATGATTACAACCCAAATTTCCCCTAATCTTTTATAGCCGGCAATGTGCAAAAGTCAGAAAATGCTGTCCACTAAATGGAGCATTGTGATTGGTGGAACTTGAGTGTCTAACGCAGATGTGGACAACCTTTGGCTATCTCCCATAATGCGTGGAAAGTATCAGGGGATATGTAGTCCACAACATCTTGAGTGCAGAAGGTTGCCTACCCTGTAAAGTTTAGGACCATTTCTCACCGATTAAATAATGGTCAGTTATGGCTGGGATTGTGATTGGTTCAACACTGTAATGGCTCAATGAGGCTGTTAACAAATGTCGACAAATATCAGATATGAGATTGTAATGGGCCTTAGTCACCCCATGATACCGTGATGCATGGGGTCGACAGGTTGTGTAAATGTTTTTTAAAAAGTGTGAGATTTTATTAAAATTAAAAGCACAACCAATAAGTAACTTTTAGTTAGCTATTTGGCTGTATAAAAGTTTCGCTGGTGACAGTGCCTCTTTAACCCCTTAAAGACCAAACTTCTGGAATAAAAGGGAATCATGACATGTCACACATGTCATGTGTCCTTAAGGGGTTAAAGAACTAGCAGCAATACACATTACTCACGCCTGGACTTTGGAAAGCCCTTTCAGTGCCAGGAGAGAGCTATACACAGCGTCTCAAGCAAAACACTTCGCCCAGCCGTAAACTCCTTGTGTGCTGGAGGGCCAGGCCATTGCTTTTGCATTGAGACGGTTAACAACACAATGACTGTCCCTCACATGGTGTGTCTGAGATAACTTCCAGGAGTGACAGATGACATCACTGGAGGTGTGACTGGCTGGTGCTGGGCTATGAAAGGCTCTTGTGGAAAGCTGGAGGGCTCCTATAATGAGCAGTACAGAGCTGTGCAGCTCTCCTGCAAGCTGAGATCTATGCTGGCAGAGGGGATTGCTCACTCAGGAGCATCCTCCACTGTCCCATAGCTAAGTTCCCCTTGCATTGGGGGGGTAGGCTGTGCATTGTGGACGGTTACACAAAGCCTCAGGGAATGAGAGAGATGAGCTGAAAGAGACATTTCTGCACTTCAAAGAAATGCACGCAGACAGGGCTTGCTCTGCTGGCTGTGGCTTCAGACCTGGAGCTCAGTTTAAAAAGGCATCTGTGACCAGATCGAAGAAGTCAGAAGCCCAGCTCAGCCTGAATAAGGAAGCAGTCTGTTCTCAATGAGCTGAGTGGATTTGCTGGTGAGTTCCTTGCCATTCATTAACGTATAAGGAATGTCTTGTAGAATGTTCAACAATCCATGAATTGTATACAGCGAGAGCATGTTTGTTTTCTACGTAATGAGTGAAAAACTAAATCGCAAATAGGGTCAGAAATTAAAAAAATAAATCGTAATTAGGGTTTTTCTTTTTCTCCAGTTAGTTATATTGATCTGTCATTTTTCTTTTCTTTTTTTATTCTCTTTTTTTTTCAGTTTAACGCAGGTCACTAATCTCTGAAACTGTCAGGCAAACAGGTTATAAATATTTATGAAGAGAAAAATAAATCTATAATGATTTTACATTCCTCGTTCTCCTCTTAAGACTTATCTTTTAAACCTTCAGGCATTGGACAAGGACACGGGACAGGAACCAGTCTGCAAACTGATTCCTGTTGTACTGCTGAAGGAGGGACAGAGTATACAACATTTGTGGACGGGCACTTCGGCAATGAATCCAGGGTCTGTGTGCTGTCAGGACCCATGCAGTTATCCTGCCCTGCTTGTCAGATATTCTACGCAGTAAAAATCTGATGTGAGGAAGCATGAGAGGGGAAAGTTTACTGTCCTTGGAAAGATTAGCTGGGTGTAGACTTTGCAGGAGGAGTCGCTGGAGGGTACTAAGGTCTCGATGGCTTGCGGCCAGCTTGACTTGCACTATTTTGGTAATATATATGTGCTCCCAGGACCTGTTGCTCAGCTCCATGCGTTTCCCTTTATTATGGGAGAGCTCAAATCCACCCAGACAAGTCACTGTCCTTATCTGGTATGAACCCTTTGGGAAAAGACGTAGACTGGGCAATTGTCACATCTTGTTTAATATCTCTGGATGCCACCTGACCACCAACAGGAGCCTCTATCAAGAGGCAGATGCCATCCTTTTCCACCATAGGGACATCATAGACTATACCGACTTTCCACTGATGGGAAGACCAACCTTTCAAAAATGGATATGGATGAACTTCGAATCCCCATCCCATTCTCCGTGGCTGTATACCTTAGGAGGTGTATTCAACTGGACCATGTCATACAGAGTGGATTCAGATATTTTCGTGCCTTACGGTTATTTATTCTCCAGGAAACGTGCCAAAATTTTCCTACCACGCAAAAGAAAGCTGGTTGCGTGGGTCATAAGCAACTGGAATGAGGACCATGAAAGAGTCCAGTATTATAACCAACTGAGGGAATATATCGACATTGACATATACGGGAGATATGGGATGGAGTTAAGAGAGGATAATATTGTGAAGACAGTCTCAGAATATAAATTTTACCTCGCCTTTGAGAATTCTCTCCATACGGATTATATTACCGAGAAACTCTGGAGAAATGCCTTCAAATCGAGTGCTGTCCCCATTGTCATGGGTCCCAGCAGATACAACTACGAGATGTTCATACCTCGTAATTCCTTCATCCATGTGGATGATTTTTCGAGCCCAAGGAAGCTGGCCATGTTCTTGAAGTATCTCGACAAAAATACACATCTCTACAGAAGATATTTCACTTGGAAGAAACGTTATGATGTCCATGTGACTTCTTTTTGGGACGAGCATTACTGCACAGCTTGCGAAACTGTGAAAACAACTGGAAATCAGCATCGGACAGTTTCAGATCTTGCAGGCTGGTTTGAGAGCTGATAAAATCTATCTCTGAACGATTAACTGCTGTTCCAGACTTAAGGAGCCTATCAGATCCTACAGGCAGCTTTGAGAGGTGATGAAGCCGAACGTAAAGTGATTAATATAAAACAAATAAATAAATAAAACCACATGATATCAGATTGAATCAAACTTCCCTTGTCGGGTTTGTAGTGTTTACATTAATCTTGTAAATTATTTCACAAAACGTACTGGCTCATTTTCAATTATGAACTTCAAACATGTCACCATTATTAGTCGTAATGGTAATATTTTAAATAATAACCAGGCAAATTCTTGTTGCAAAAGAGATGTTAAATGTGAACGGAAGATTGGTAATCTGTTCTGATATTGGGCAATCAGCATGTGGTGCATACTATTAAATGGCATTAGACTGGAGATTTGCATAAATTATTTCCAACGTAATTCAAAATACAGGATCGATCTGCTGAAATCTGGGCTTGTTTATTTCTTAAAGCTCTCTGTTCCAGTAGGGTGACAGTGTAACAATGCATTGATCATCAACCTGGCCTTTCTCTAACAAAGGGTTGGACTGAGGTGAGGGTGATGGGAGTTGTGCTGAGGGAAACGTTAGAGAACCAGGGCTTGCAAGCTGTGCTGAATTGAGTTCTGCATTATTTTATTTGAGTGGCAGATTTGTGATACATACACCAATAAACCATGGTTAAGAACTAGCTTTAGATACTGTGGGGTTTATACGCTAAACAGTTAATTGTGGTGACATGATACCCAAACTGTTATTCAAGCCAATAATACTCAAACATTTTCCAATTCATGTCCTTTTAAAAACTTGAATATTTTCACCTTAGTTTTGGCAATTTGGTTTTTAATTCAGTAACTTTTCACAGATGGATATATAATCCTTACAGGAAAAGTGCTGCCCTGTATATAGAATTCATGTGCTGCAGACTGAAATGATTTCTATAATCATAGTGACATTTTAGTTAGTTTCCCTCCTGCAGCATTGGAATTCTACAAACATCAGGACAGTTATTTTCAGATGCTTTCCATCAGAATGTAGAAGTGATGTGGGTCCAGAAATCCTTGCTGATATCACACTCCTGCATACACAACTACTGCAGAAATAGCTCGCTGCTACCCTTTCAGTTCTAGAACTACAACTCTCATTTCTGACAGCCTAGGCAACTACAGTTCTGACAACTTGCTTGGTATACAGCTGACTTTATCTATCTATAGCTGCATCATGCTGTATACCACCTATTGCTATAGCTGTATCTTAGATATCTACGTTTGAAAGCTCCACCTTGTTTAGTGGACACATATTGAAAGGCAGCACATGAAAATTAATTGTTATTCGTGTTATGTAATTGTAACCCCTTTTTTACCCTGCTCCACCACCACAAATACATAAGAAAGATGGTTGTTTTTTTAAGTTTTATTTTCAACAACAAAATTACAATACTTAAAGGGACACTCTAGTCACTAGGACAGCTACAGCTTAATATAGTGGTTATGGTGTTTATATTCAGAGAAAAGGCAGTGCTTTTCACAGTCACTCAGACTGTCACTAGAGGTGCTTCCTGGATCAGTGCTGTATAGTGTGCAGCACCTATGTTCAGTATCTCCACACTCTGCATGGAAGCGCTGAAAATATCCCGTAGAGATGCATTATTTCAATGCATCTCTACGAGAATGTGTTGTTTGGTGCAGCGCAGCATTTTGCTGCGAATGCGCAATATCCTCCCAATGCTTTCCCATAAGAAAGCATTGGCTGAGCTAAGATCATCAAGCCTGATGATCTCAGCCATGGAGGCAAGACCAGCCATGGCGAGACTGGCGAGTCATGGGAGAAAGGGTGAGTAAAAACACCTTTCCCAAGCTATCAGAGGTGGGCCTGTGACCTAAACAGGCACACTCACTGACAGACAGACTGACGCACTCACAGACAAACACACACATATTTTCTCATATACTCAAAAATTATTATTGTTATATTTTTTCATTTTTAAGTCCACCCAGCCTGACTACCTTTGAAAGATCTGGAGTGGATCCTTTCCCTTGTGTCCAGTAGGCTACTCTCTAATCTACCTGCAGTTGATGCTCTGCTCCCTCACGCACCCTCTGTAGTGATGCCGGGGCTGTAGTGACATCATATCCCGACATTACAAAACAGCGCGCGAGGGAGCAGGGCAAGAACTGCATGAAGATTACTGCTCCCTCACTGCCTCCTTGCTGCCCCAGCCGGTGTTCTGTCAGATCACAGGCCACCTCTAATGCTCTCTAGGGTTGCCGCCTCCATGCTCCCTTGGCTGGCTGCCTCCGCTGAAAGGCTGACAAATCCCAGTTGTCAGGACAAAATTTCAAGTTGTGACGTGGTGCCTGGGATTTGTCAAGCTTTGATATATTTTATTAAACTAAACAGGTATTGTTATGTAAGAATTCAGCTGTTGCAATTATGCAGTTCCGTTCTAGCAGGTGGTGCACAGTCATGAGACTTGTAAAACACTGAAACTGGCTAACTTGTAACACTAGATCCCCGCCCAAATGTAGGTGTTCTTCCCACCCAGGTATCCCTTTGTTGGTAAGGTAGCTCAGATCTCCAAATGTCTTTTCAATTAGTCGTTGGAAAGTGGCGCTCCAAAAATGCGCTCCAGTTACACCTCGTGACATACGGGTAAATTGGAAAAACCACATGGGCAAATGAATGCAGTCTTCTGCTAATCCTATTCCCTCATAGGCACTTGATAGTTTCCAGACCATAGAACCAAGACACTAAACCACTTTCTCCTAGTTAATTGTAAAATGGATGGGATATTAGTTACTTGGAACTCTGTGTCCAGCAATGCTGAGGCGGGTGTCCCTTCAATCATAAGATATATGAGAGACTTTGTGCCTATCCTAATATCTGTAGGCAGTCCACCATCACTTTTACTAGATGGCTTTTTCTTCAGTTGCTTCTTTTTCCTCTTAAGTTTAATGTCTGCAGGGCTCTGTTCAATAGCTAAGACTTCTACGTTAGCAGAACCAGCCTTAAGAGGGCACTTACATAATAGATGCCCCTTTTGTCCACAGTTGAAACACTTGATGTCTCTTCGTCCCGGGCTGTGGATTGAGCATCCTCTTTTTCTTCCTTAAACTTGACTTTATGTTCCAGGGGCCTTAGTGTCAATCCCCTTCAGCTAGCTACGAAGGAGAATTCCTTCTCAATGGCTTTAGCCTCCTTTATTAGATCCAAAAAGCTGAGTGGACATCTAGGGCACAACAGAGCAGTTAGGGACTCTCTTATCCTGTGATCGAGTCACTCTAAGTAAGGGGTGCCCAAACGGTAGATCCTCAGATGTTTTAAAACTACAGCTTCTAAGATGCTTAGTCATGCTTTATCATTCTTAAGGCATGCAAAGCATCATGGGAGTTATAGTTCTTCCCCATATATGTTTATTTCCGTATGCATCAATTTCTCACCGAGAAATTCTTTTCTTTTTAAAAAGTTTCCTTAATATCAGTTCTAAGCAGACCAAAAAGGCAGGTAGTTTCTTATTTTCTTTCTGGATGGTATTATCATCTCCAGGGGCTTCGTTCAACACCTTGATAATATCAGAGACTGCTGAATCGGGGTACCGCAAGAGATGTCTCACTAATTCCTCTGTTGGAGCTTTCAAACCGTCAATCATTCATTGACGTTTAACATCCTCAACACAGGTCCACTCTTCCGACAACTGGACTGCATTACTTTTCCAGGTAGACAAATCATCCTTGCCTGATGGCACAGGCATGACACCAGAACAGTTTTTAAATTCCTGTAGTGCTAGACTGATCACAAGGCCGGAATAACACTTTTAGACAGCTGAGCCAGTACTTTAGTTAAGGAAAGAATTGTTTCACTCTGCACACAGCACTACGAATATAGCGTGGCATATTCTCTGCACACAGCACTACGAATAAAGCATGGCATATTGTTTGCATACAGCATCATGCTATATTATCTGCACACAGCACCGTGCTATATTCTCTGCACACAGCGCCGTGCTATATTCTCTGAACACAGCACTATTATCAGACACAATAACTGCACCGCATGACATATTCAAATACCCCAGACAGGAAATCAAGTAATCAATCTGGAATGCTGCAGCCTATGACTTAGACTTACAGCAGGGCACCACTTTTCATGATTTACCCACCAGCACTAAGAAATGATGTATGTCCAAGAAAAGTCCATGGATATGACAATACTTTATATAAAGCGGTGGCACTGGCCATGCAAGTCAATGCTTTGAGAAAAGGATTGAGCTCTGCTTGTGGGATATTAAGAGTTTATTAAGTTGCCTGCCACAAATAAAGCAGTCGTAATATATTTAAATATATTTAAATTATTGTTGAAATTCACCGATATTGAGTTGGCTTTTAACTCTAATTGTAATTTAAATTAAAAAATTTTTTTTTTTGCAAATCAGTGAAAAGGCAGTTTTTCCGAATCAGTAATCAGCAAGGTGTGTTGGCTATTGTGAAATGCATGTTTACATGAGATATGACTGGAGAATTCATATGTGTGCACATTCTATATCAACATGCTGCTGATAGCAGGCAGGGAGAGGCTGAAGAAATAAATGCCAATCTTGAGCAACTATATTGGAATAAAGGTGAGATACCCACATGTTTTCTTGGACACATCAAGTTATTCCCTGTAGTATGTAGCATTCGTGTGTTCCAGCAGCGAAATCAGTGATCTCATTGCCTTAATACAGCATACAACTGCTACATTTCACAGGGTGGCACTTTTCATGTGCCGACTATCACCATGTAGAAATTAAATATGTCCACATAATCTGGCAAACCGCAGAGTCGAAAATGGACATATCTGAGTGCTTCTAATGCTTTGCCAGTTTTCAGACTACAAAGCAGCCAGTGTGATTAGTAAAGGGTTTTCTTAAAAGTGCGGCTTAAATAGTCGGAGACATGGTTCCAATCTAAAGTCCTGCCTAACAGTGTCATTTAGCAGGTTGATGTCACGTGACCTGTCACATGACTTTGAATGACTCCAAAAAAGAAACAAGGATATTTGTTAATAGCCGAATAGGAAAAAATATGATCAGGTTTAAAATTAGAAATTCACCAAGAAAACGTTCACATAAACAAGCATATTACAATAGTGACCTGTTGAAATGACTTTGTGCTTGGGTCATGGGGTGTTAAGGATGTTATAGATATAAGATGTGAATCTGTAGCTGTTTTATAATATAAATCCCCATTTTGTGTCTATTGAGTTATACATTTGCTTATGCTTGTACTGGCAGAAATAGAGATTCAGCGGTACGGACACAATATCACATACTTTTTAGGTAATAAGTAATATGATATATTTTAAGGTACAGGCCCCCCCACCCAAAAAACCCAACTCATGATAAAATGATTTTAGTAAAGCCAGTTTTAACACATATATGTTCAGGGATATGAGGGGTATTCAGAAAACCTGTGAGGGTCAAATATTTGTATTTTTCCTTTAATACTTTGTTTTAGACTCTACTAGTATAAAAAGTCACAGAAATAGATGATATTTGTGCAACTAACTCACAAAGGAAGCAATTCATTAGACCCAGCGGTGAGAGGCTGTCTGTGGTCAGATCCCTGTCTGCTTTCATAATGGAAAAAAAAATCCCAATTGGCTCCATTCGATAACCAAAATGTAACTGTTTGGGTTATTCACGAAAGTGTCACCTGATGGAATTAAAAAAATGTAAAATAAATAATAGGCCAAAATAGTGACGACACTTTGGTGCGTGGGGGGGGAGTGGAGGGGACCTGCTGGGTTAAATGGCAGCAGCATGCTGTGTGTGATGGCGTCAGATGTCAAATTTGCACAAAATTTATATTAGCCCAATAACGCTGCTGAAAGTGGAGTTACAACTCTGGCAGCACAGGGGTTAATCTCCATATGGCCAGTGTTTCATAGAGAAATTGAAGTAACCCTTTAATTACCAGCAACAAGCTCTTCCCTTGTCCAATGGGAGGCCTGTGCAAACCATGAATAATTAAAAAAATATCTACATAAAAATTAACTTACATGAGACAATACATTTGCAAACTTAGAAAAATGTAGATAAATAATTTGATTATAAATTGGTACTGGTGAAAAATATAAAAATAGTAATATAGTAATTATTGGTTGATGCAAAGGTTTTTTTGCATGTTATTGCTATGTGCCTTTCATTTTGTTTATGTCGATTGTTGCTATCAATACAAACAGTGATATTTGTTCCAAATGTGATTTTGATATTATTTTTTCCTTTTAGAAATAATTTTTATTTTTTATTTTTAAATTTTTTCAATACATTTAGAACTACTTCTTATCAGATCTGTTACCGCAGGTATTTAAAACAAGCACACCCAGCGTTGGATGTCAGCATAATTTACGTGTTTTCACAAAGCACGCAATAGATTTAGTTATTATCTGATAGGATTTGCAAAATGTAAATGGTTCTGTTTCACAGAAACTGCACTGTTTTTGTTTCCAGCTGTAGGGGAATTAATGAAGTGATTTTGATGTTTAGAGTTTCCCTTTAACCTCAGTTTTACAATCCAGGTTATTAATTATGTGAAACGTATGGCTTCATTCACCGAACAGCAAACTGAAAACTGAATTGTAATATTTAAGCAAAATAGCCACTCTGTGATGGTACCTAAGAAGGATCATTTTTTCAAATCAGCATATTTTTCCCGCATTTTGTAATTCAGTTTTAAATCTACTACAAATGCTAGCTACATCATAATTTGTTGTGATGGTGCCGGGATGTCCCTGGCACTGGCTTACCTTAGGGGATAGTCATTACCGAACGGTTTAACCCCAAAGAGCTGAATACAGTAGAACCCCATTCACAAAATGGCTTGAGGATCATACATATATTTCTCAAACTGTTTTGTGAATTGGGAGGCACTGACCGGCTTTGCTTAGTCCGAGGCTGCGCAAGGCTTACTGTTTCAAGAAACAGAGAAAAGCGAAAAAATATAGAAATATAGAATGTGACGGCAGATAAGAACCATTCGGCCCATCTAGTCTGCCCAATTTTCTAAATACTTTCATTAGTCCCTGGTCTTATCTTATAGCTAGGATAGCCTAATGCCTATCCCACCCATGCTTAAACTCCTTTACTGTGTTAACCTCTACCACTTCAGCTGGAAGGCTATTCCATGCATCCACTACCCTCTCAGTAAAGTAAGCTAAACTCGCGCTGGAATTAGCTCTTTGGGGTTTAAACATTCGTTAACGGTTTAAACCTTTTAAGGTAAGCCAGTGCCAGGGCCTCCTGGCACTATAACAACTTCATTCCAATAGTGACTGTGTGTTCTTTTAACACTGAAAGAAAGAAAAAAAAAACACAAAAAGAAATAAAAAAAGTATCAACTCTAAACAAGATAACATTTGCGGCAATTACCATTTGAAGATATGGATATGCTTTTATATCACAAAACCCATTGTAAATATCTGTGGGATATGTAAGTATTTTAAATAAAGTGTTTGCATCTCATTCAGCAACAATGTACATTATTACATCCCATCTTGACTCCATCAGTAAAAGCACTCTATAGCAATGCTATAAACTTATTCTATATTTTACATTAAGTTGTTTTGGTGCCTGGAGTGTCCCTTTAAGAAGAAGGGTAAAATACGCAGTCAATTAGATACCTGCTTCTTGTCGATTTTCTTGTTCTATATAGACATGATGTATGGCCTACTTTCATTATGTTTTTTCATAGCACATACAGTATGTAACAATAGCTGCCTCTAGCTAGGTATAGGTTAAAAAGTTGTTCTTTATTATTGCAAGGGAAGATGAATATGTCTTATCCAATACAGAGTCTGGGTCTGATTTTTTTTTTAGATTTAATTTCACCTAATCAATATTCTCAGGATTGCCTGCCCAAAGGGGAATTCTTTCCAACGTGGAAAACGGTCTTTGTTTTAATTGAATTATTGGCGTTGGCGAGTGTGAATTTTTATTCTGCCGCTGCGCTGGCTTGCTGCCTGCAGGAATGGTTATCAATGTAGTAATAGGACAGGGGTTAGAAAACGTGCCGTGTTTGTGCTGATTTAACAACATCGCAATAAGTCAACTCTTGACATCCCTTTACAGCAGCCGTTGAATGAGATGAGATCCTTCACGGGAAATCTAGCAATAACAGGCTTATTTACTAAAGCCACGAATTGCCATGACTTCAAAGCGAATTTTGCATTTTTTGACCAATATAGTAAAACTGAATTAATTTCCAATTTAGCTGTTATCGCCCTAAATTTGAAATTCGATTTGATGTTCACGTCAGTAAATAACCCTGCAGATGTAATCAGATCACGCGATTACTCTACAGCAGTGAAGGCTAAATTTATCACTGCGGATATTTGTGAACAATACTTCCTATGATGCACAGGCAGTTTTTAGGTTGGTATTGCATCAAGGGAAATGTAGTCTTGGGTGGCAATGGTAGCCATTATTGGTGTTTATTGATAAAAACCTTCTGACTCCTGTAATGCTTCATTGGAAGTGGCATCCCGGAGACTTGTCATCATGTATTTGTGCTGAAATCAGCCCGAGATCAGCCATTTCTTTTGTATGGATGTCCAATCCACCAAGAACAGGGAACAGGGCTGGATTAAGAGCCCATTAGGCCTGGTGCAGACAGTTATGATGGGCCTAATTACAAAATCTTATCGACAGAAAACACTAAAACGGTTATACCTCCCAAGCGTCATGTATCTGGCGGAGGTGGTTCTGGAGAGAAACTCACAGGATACAGCTATCAGGAAACACGTACCCTATGCTAATCTCTCGCTTTTATCTTTCAAGTAAATTCATACCCCCTAACAGCAGGTCCGGTGAAGCAGAATGTCAGTGGGCTAGGTAAAAGGGTGGGTGACTGATGCAAATCACGTAATCAGAGCCGCCTAAAGGGGAGAACATGCCCAAAAAAGGTGCATGTCTGTGTGTAAATGCATTACAGGCTGCCTGCCAATCATGCATGCTGGCTAACAAAGGGCATACCTTGCAGACAGTACCCTGAGTGTATAATGATGCACTCGCTCCACGCTTTCTAAGGGATGTCCTATAGCACTCAGTTGTCCACACCTCTCCTAACCTTCTTACTAGCAGGCAGGAGCTCCTGTTAAACAGTCTGGAACAGAGAAAATGTATAACGAGTACATGTATAAGAAAGGTAACATGTCACAGTGTTAGAGAGATTGAAGCAGCAAGAGCATTTGCATAGTGTGCAAAATCAGCTTTACCTTAACTAATTTCATTGTCAGCCAGTCCACACACGTTTTGTCTCTCTACATCCGTCTTAAGTTTCCATATTTAAGAAGAGTAGTAAAAAAAATATATATATATATATTTTTTTTTTAACAATGGGCCTATTCCATAGTCATGGGCCTGGAGCTGCAGCTCCATCAGCCCCTATGTTAATCCAGCCCTGATCAAGGGCAATTATGATGAATAACTGATATTCAACATTTGTCATTGAATATGGAAGAATAAATATATACATTTTTATAGTGTTTGTGATGAACATGTTTACATTTATTAAAACACTGTAGCAGGTTTTTATGATATATTTTTCTTGACCTCACTATTGATCCTGCTGATTGCAGTGTGACATTAGTATTGCTCTCTTATGGGATGAAGAAAAAGCAGTGAACTGGGTTACTTTAATGTGTTACAACATTCAGTATTCGGAAACAATGTCAGAGACATAGAATTATCAAAGTAGGAAAAACCCCAAACTCGACGTTTTATTTAAACTAACCGGGTTATTCACTAAAGTGAGAATTCAAAGTGAATCTTAAATTTAAGGTGAAATTTCAAAATTTAAGTTGTAAATAGTCGAACTGGAAAAGTTCTCAAAGTCATCCATGCTTTTACTTCGATTATTCTGGACTTGAAATGTACTTTTAATTCTCAATTTAGCCACTAGCCCTGTCAGAAACATAGAAACATAGAATGTGACGGCAGATAAGAACCATTCGGCCCATCTAGTCTGCCCAATTTTCTAAATACTTTCATTAGTCCCTGGCCTTATCTTATAGTTAGGATAGCCTTATGCCTATCCCACGCATGCTTAAACTCCATTACTGTGTTAACCTCTACCACTTCAGCTGGAAGGCTATTCCATGCATCCACTACCCTCTCAGTAATAGTCAGTGAATTGAAATCAGAATTGCAACATTTAGGATAATATAGCCAAACTGCAGCTATTGCTATATTGGAGAATGTTTTCAAATCAGCTATTTTAGCCTGATTTTATTTTTTTTTAACATTTCTGTTGGCTCCAATAGGCGCATGTGTGTTCCAAATATTGTCTGTTGCACTAAACATATCTTCAAAGTGTGAATTAGCACAGGATTACAGTTTTTTCCATCACTACTGCTGTTAGGACTAATAAAGAGTTCGGCAGAGAGTGGTAATCTACCACAGAGAAACAAAGAGAATTCCCTTACATCAACAGAGGAATCCTTCATCTATATATGGCAAGATGGCGCAGTTAGTTAAAGAGACACTAACCAACCATCTAGTTAGTAGATATATCTCGAATGAAAACAAGCATGTATTTAATTATACATTTCATCATCAGGAGTTCCGATAATCCTCTGCCAATCGGCAGGGCACTTGGACCAAACTCAGTTAAAGGGCCGAGGTTGGACACCCTTTTTCTAAATGCTTCCCATTGTTGATTTCTGTGTTTTTCTCAAGTTAGTTAAAGAGACGCTATAACCAACCACCTAATTAGTAGAAATACCCCGAATGAGAACAAGCATGTATTTAATTATGAATTTCATCATCAGGGGTTATTTCTATAAAAAGCTTGCAATAGCTTCAGATCTCTTGTCTATTTACTGGTTTATTGAAGAAAGTATGATGCCCTATCATTCATCCTCAGCCCAGACTTTCTGTGGCTGTCCAATCACAGATTTCCCAATGCAGCTCAATGAGAAGTCTTTGCAAGACAGGTGCTCAGAGATCCCCTGGACTGTAAGGAAGGGGAGGCATGACTGCTGCCACTCAGTAAGAGGTGTGGATTTATGGGATATAATTGTTGCAATATGGAGGACAGTATAAGTGTGTGTGCAAGGGGAGGATACTCACCATTCCCATAAAGAAAGGCAGGAACAGGTTTTCTCTTACCTCACCTTCTTTCCATATAAAAAAAATAAAAAAAATCAGAAGCTTTGTAAGGACAGTATTACCTGTAGTTACCTGCTTGCTTTGATTACTTTAAGATGGCTGCAGTGTCTAAGGATGCCCTCATTGGGATGCTGCAGGCTTACCTGTCTTATCATGGAGCTGGCTGTCTGGCTGAGGTGATGGCCGGTGTGCCCCACGAGGTGAGAGGAGAGGACCTGCAGGAGGCGGAGAGCCCATCGCTGGTGAGTGGTAGGAGGCCTAGGCGGTTTAGGCCTCCTACTCGTCTTTCCCCAAGCCCAGTTTAGACAAGGTGGCGGTGAGGTGGCTGGTCCGGTCGGGAGACTCACAAGGATCGATGATGGCGTGGTGAGCAGTGGATCCCAGGCTGCCAGGAGGCGGCTGCGGGCTGCAAGAAGGTCGGTGAGTTGGGCCCAAGATGGCAGTGCACGGTAAGATCGCTCGAGGAGTCCCCCTTCTTTTCCGGCCATACCGGAAACGAGGTGCGCACGCAGGATGGCAGGACAGAACGTGATGGCGCTTGCAGTGGTGTGCGGCGTGCACATGATGACGTCACGTGCACATACATCACGGAACCCGGAAGTGTCTGAAATTCATCGCCGGGAAGGAGCTGCAGCCCATGACAGGAGGCACCGGGGGGCCGGCTCCTGGCTGATGAAGGCTCTGGAGGAAGACGGAGAATGGTCACTACCAGCAGCCCAGCAGGTAGTGGACCCAGCAGCTGGCGGACCGGCCGGCTGCCAGCAGATCCAGAGGAGTCGGAGTCAGGATGACTCAGATGAGCAGGACCACCAGGGACATCGTGGCGACTGCCCTGGAGAGCGGGCTAACGTGGCAGCTCCTGTCAGCGGTGAGTTGGCCTGCGCTAGCGCTTGGTGTAGCCTAGCTGGGGGGCAGGGTGCTTCAGGGGGTTCAAATCAGGATCAAGGGGACTTGCTGCGCCTGCGTGGGGAGGTTGTAGATAGGTTGCCACCCACTGCGCACAGCAAAACTCATAGGGGCCTGGGGGTGTAGGCCCCAGTAACGCAGTCATGGGGAGGGGCGTTCCGCCCCCCCACTACCGGGCTGTGACTTGTCTCCCTTGGGAATGCATGTCCCAGTCGAGACATGTGATAAGATTTTAAAGGGAGAGTTCATAGATTTCCTCTCGCTGGTCCCTCCTGAGAAGGATTCCGTGGATAGGCCACGTCATGGCGATCCCCAGGACACGGAAAAGAGCAAGCAACTCCCAAGGACGTTTGGGAATTGGTTGCAAGGTTTTGCTGTGTTCACCAGTATCCTAACCAGGTGTTTTCCGGAACGGGCACCTTCCTTGTTCGGCTATCTAGAAATTATTTGGGGTGCATATAAGGTTTATGGCGGACAGAGCTGGTACCGGAATGACCAGCAGTTCCGCCAAAAGATGGCGGCGTGTCCCGGGTTAGATTTCAGTACCCAGGATGGTAGCCTATGGGTGCTGACAATGACCCCCAGTCGTCCATCGTCCTTTTCAGGAGCAGCCGGGGCTCCCTCTGGCACACCGGCTGGTCAGAAAAAAGGAGTGTGCTGGTTCTTTAATGAGAGCCATTGAAGGTGGTACTCCTCCTGACGGTTCAGGCATGAGTGCTCGCATTGTGGAGGGGCTGTGGTTCTGGGGGAAGGGTTTTCCATGGGTTTTTGGATCCCCTTTGTTTTTTCTCCAGAGCTGCGTTTGGCTGACAATCTACGGTCAGTCAAGGGCAAGGAGACCCTGTTGGGCAAAAAGTTGTCTAAGGAGACAGCGCTGGGTCGCATGGCTGGGCCATTCGATTTTCTCCCCTTTCCTAACTTGCGGCCTAGTCCCGAAAAAGGAGGCTGGATGATTCTTTTTGGATGATTCATCACTTGTCCTAGCTGGCTGGGAGTTCAGTGAATGATGACATTGACAGAGAGTTCAGCAGGGTCTGGTATGCCTCTTTTGATCGGGCTCTGTCGCTGATTAGAAAAGCTGGAGTAGGGGCACTCATGGCAAAATCTGATATTGAATGGGCCTTCCGGTTATTGCCGGTTCACCCGGAATGTTTTCACCTTCTGGGTTGTCAGTTTCAAGGGTCATATTTTTATGATATGTGCCTTCCCATTTCCTGTTCCTATTTCGAAATGTTTGCTTCGTTTTTTGGAATGGGTAGTTGTTCAGTTCGCAGGTATTGCGTCAGTTACACATTATCACGATGATTTTCTGTTTGTGGGTCCTCGGGATGGGGTTGAGTGTGCCCAGTTATTGTTGGTTGTTCCGTGCAGTGGCGCACAGTATAATGGGCGGTCGTGCTGGTTGCAAGTAACGGGGTCTAATTCTGAGTTGGATCTCTTCACGGATGCGTCTGGTTCAGTCGGGTTTGGGGCCTTCTTTAGGGGTAAGTGGTGTGCAGCGGCGTGGCCTCCAGAATGGCGTGAGTTAGACGTTATGCATAACCTTACCTTCCTGGAACTTTTCCCCATAGTGGTGGCTCTGGCATTGTGGGGTGAGGACCTGCGGGATCGGGTGGTGGTTTTTCACACGGACAATATGAGTGTTGTCCATGTGATTAACCGATCATCTTCTTCTCCTGTTTTGGCAATTTAAGTTTAATGTAGCGATTTCGAGGTTTGTTCGTTGCCTTGGCGGTGTGTCGGTTCGACACACGAAGTTGGAAGGGGACAATTGAAGGTTAATGAGGGACGATGGGGTTCACCTGAATCCTATTGGGCTGGATATATTTAACGTGGGTATCCAAGGAGGGATTGAAACAGCGCTGTCTGCGAGGGGCGCGATGCAGATAAATGAAGATCAGGGTCGGCAGCGCGGTGGCGGCGGTCCTGGCCAGCGCAAGTAATGCAAGACAAGGCTTTGGGGAGTCGCACCTGGCAGGGCTGATGGCAGAAGGCAGACTGTACGGACTCTTGGAATTATCCGGTGTATCTGTCTGTTGGGTAATCACCCCAACAGCAGACAGCTGGTGATATAAAGCTGGCTGAGTTGATATGTTGGAATAATAAAGCTGTGGCTGTTGCCCTTACTCCAATACTCAGGTGTCTTGACGTTATTGGGGGGGCAACGGGAATGTAAGTGGTCTGCAGTCATGAGCAATTACTGCCTCTTGAGTTTAGCTCCACCGAGCTAACCAAACCAGGAAGTAACATGATTCGTTATCTGATTGACAGCTGGGGAAAAGGGGGTTAATAATGGCCATTTATAAAAGTGCTAATTTCTATTGAAACCTGCACTTTTCTAAATGAAAAAAAAAGAGGACACACTTCACACAGTGCGTTAGGGGTCTGGAGTATCCCTTTAATATACCAACTGCAGAGCCTATTCATACCTCAGGGTCCCAGATTTGCTTGCCAGCTGGTTGAACTATTTTTAAGGTCAATTCTAAGAGTTCTAGTGTAAAGTGATAATTTCTTGGCCCCCGGACTTACTTTGACAGGAAATCTCAATGTATCCTTCTTGGTAAAACACTTTGATTTAAATTTTTATCCCAGGGAAGCCTTACATTTATTGTTAAGCGTTTCAGAGAACTAGCCTCGTGGGCAATTTCACCGAGTTCTCAATTTCAGCTCCACAAACTTGTCTGTTTGGATAGAAAAATACTTTATACCTTATACTTACTTCAAGAACCCGGTAAATAGTCATTCTTCCCTCATGCTGAAAGGATTAAAAGAACAATTCCTCTTTGATGTATACTAGCCACCAGATCTCTCCAAGTTTGTTTTTTTTTCACAGAGAGAACCGTGGTGACAATGCACTGAGATAAAGGGGGCTTATTCATCAAACGTTTTTTGTTTGTTTGGAAGGTTTTTTTTGTGAGAGAAATAAGACCTCTTTTCATCAAGGTGTGAATGTTACAATCTTTGAATAATAATCTGTGCTGAATACACAGGGAGGGTACCATGGTTTGTTGTTTTTTATGCTATAAAAAAATAATTGCCTGAAAAGACAGCAGTTGTTTTCATTTTATTATTTTTTTCTTACACTGCAGATACATGGATAGGGTTTGTTTGTTAAATAAATAAAACCAATTAGAATGAATTAAAAAAATCAATTATTTTTTTCATTGAAGGTCCGTTCTCTGTTATCCATATGACAATATGTGTGTAAAAAAGGGGCTACAAGGTTTTTTTGTACGTTCAGATGATCAGCTTGTCAATGTGGCTGGGATTAATAAGAAGTCTAAAGAAACTTGAGTCAAAGTTTTCTAAAATAAACGTGCTTGCCATTTTGTGTCAGTATTTTACCAGTTTGGTATCTAGAGGACTGGTCACCTACAGGGCTTTCACATTTCTGGGGAATGAAACCTATGAAAATGTTTCAGCAAGAAGTATGGGAGTTGTTCACAGATGGACATTAGTGGCAACCCTGTAGGACGTCTTACCCACAAAGCTCATCCTTTGTCATCTTACAGCAGGTGAGGGTCAGTCCAACCTCGAAAGTGGGTGGAGTTTCAAACCAAGAGTCTCAGCATAAAACCCAGCATGCACCAGATATGCAGATTGAGATCTTTCTATTGGTTACCCTTACTCAAGGCCTGAGGCGTCCACCCTTACCCACCAGTTGTTGTTGGACTGTAGTTCCCATAATCCTCTACCAATTGGCAGAGCACCTAGTCCAATCTCAGTTAAAGTGCCGAGGTTGTACACGCTTTTTCAAAATGCTTCTCATTGTTGATTTCTGTGTATTTCTCAGGGACTGGTAGCATTTAGGGTGCCAAATGAAATGGAAGGGTTTATTTTTTTATTATCCAATAATTGTATGTACCGTGAAGGAAATAAAATGATTTAAAGTCACTGCTGCGGACATGCTATTCATGCTGCATTAGGATTATTGCGTTAACACTTTTTGTTTGTATAAATATAACGTAACATTTATTTAAAACATGGGATGGTGGTCATTTTGTGCATAGATCGTTGTTCAAACAAATGTAAAAAAAAGTAAATTATTTCCATTGACACTGTTTATTTTTTGTTTATTTGTTCATTCTTTGTAGGGATATGGGGGGAATGAGAAACAACAACAATACACAGTATCCTTTATTTTGCAATATTTAAAAAAATATATATATTCTTTAGTGTAAATACATGCTCAAAATATGATATAGGCATTTAACATGAAGTATTATCACTAAAAAGATATACTTAAAAGGTCAAGATGTGCTGCGCTTTTCGCTTTTTTTTTTTTTAGATGTACAGTACAATCAATATTACACATAAATGGCATGTCATGAGTGGTGCGCATTTGACAAAAACAGAAAATAGTGAAAACAACTAGGTATACATGTCTTCCATAAGTAAACAAACTTGATGTGCATGGATGAACAGTGAGAGTAATATTAGATCAACCATGCATGGGTCAGGTGAAGTGTAGAACAAGCTAAGGCAAGAGTTTTATTCTATCGGCATATCATATACCAGATACGTTAGCTACTTGATGATTAACTGTCGAATACTGTCATCCTATGGTAACCATGACCTTGCTTGTAAGCAACAACAATAATATTTATTTGAAGGGTAGTGCTGAGTACAGGAGCATAGACAACATAGGAGTTATGGATCCACTGGGTGTACATTATAAAAATTACATAAAACATAAAGCAGAATGCATCAAACAACAGAAAGCCCTGCACAGGATGGTGTAAGGAGTTTGGTCGGCAAGGGATCACCCAATACCACAAGCATGCCTCAGGCAGTCCATCTTTACACCTGCTTTAAGGTCACCTCTCTCTCTCACATAGGCCTCCATTGATAGCCAGGTTTCATGCTGATGGTGTGTGGAAGGTCTGCAGGTTTCATCTCTCTGTGGCTTGACCTGAAGGGGAACCAGTAGTGTACTCTTGGGAGTCCACTCAGTGTGAACCTGGGTCCCAGGGCTCTGCGATTTGCGAGGAGCCTTCCGGCTGCTTGAATGGCTGGGTGGACGCACCTCTGTGTGGGTCTCCTGCCCAGAGCAGGATGGACGGACTGCCGCTGCTGCTTTGTTCTCCGGTATCGCAGGTGAGGTTTGGAAGGGAGGTCTGTGCTGTAGGCGCCTCCAGAAAGCTTGGCAAATTTGCTCAAACTGGATCTCGAAGTGCAGTCTCCATTACTGGAGCTCGGTGCTCTCTTTAGTCTGCTGAGAATGCATCTTGGCGGCTATCTTAGGCCCATCGCACGACTCTCCGCTCTGCAAGATATTACCTTTTTGCAGGCTAGTATGATTCCCCAGTGGGGACCGGGATATCCCCCACTGGTCCATAGGGAGGGATAGCGGGAGAAGAGGAGAGCTGCTGTGCATTATATCTAGAAAATAGACCAGATGCCAGGAGGGGGCCCGGCAGCTTGCTCAGTATGCCACCAGGTGCGCGGCCCCTCTGTGCCGTCTGCCCAGTAAGAGAGCGTCCATGGCCAATGATCTGCAGCGTTACCACAGCAACGCTCTGACTGGTTCTCGCAAGATACACGGTCTGCAGCTCTGCACAACACTGTGGAGCTGCAGACCGGATATCACTGCCAGACCACCAGGGAGCCCACTGGATCACCAGGGATCCCACACGGGACCACCAGGGAATTAAATAAGGTATTTAGTCTCCCCTCCCTCACACCATCACCCCCTTCCATCCAACCATCACCCACCTCCCACACATTATTAGCCCTCCTTCCTCACACTATCACCCACCTCCCATACATTATTAGCCCCCCTTCCTCACACCAACACCCCCTCCCTCACACCATCACCCCACCTCCCTCACACCAACACCACCACCTCTCACCATCACCCCCTCCCTCTCACATCACCCCTTCCTCTCTACACCATCACCCCTTCCTCATCATCACCCACCTCCCACACATTATTACCTCCCCTCCCTCACACCAATTAGGTGGTTTAGGCTGCCGCCTAAGGCCTTGCACTGACTGGGGCCTCGCGGCCTGCTAAACCGCCTTAAGGCAGACTGTGTCAGGTATGTACAGTAAGTATATACTTATATCTTTATATCTAAAAAATAGATCAGATGCCAGGAGGGGGCCCGGCAGCTCGCTTAGTATGCCACCGGGTGCGAGGCCCCCCCGTGCCGTCTGCCCTCCCACACACCATCAGCCCCTCCCTCTCACCATCACCCCCCTTCCTCTCATCATCAACCCCCCTTCCCAACATCACCCACCTCCCACACATTATTGCTTAGTATGCCACTGGGTGCGAGGCCCCCCCATGCCGTCTGCCCGGTAAGAGAGCGCCCATGGCCAATGATCTGCAGCATTACGACAGCAACACTCTGACTGTTTTTTGCAAGATACACAGTCTGCAGCTCTGCACAACACTGTGGAGCTGCAGACCGGAAATCGCCACCAGACCACCAGGGAGCCCACTGGATTACAAGGGAGCCCACACTGGATCACCAGGGAGCCCACACTGGACCACCAGGGAATTAAATAAGGTATTTAGTCTCCCCTTCCTCACACCATCACCCACACATTATTACGCCCCCTCCCTCTCACCATCACCCCCCTTCCTCTTATCATCAACCTCCCTCCCCAACATCACCCCCCATCATCACCGACCTCTCACACATTATTACCTCCCCTCCCTCCCACACACCATCAACCCACTCCCTTACACCATCAGCCCCTCCCTCTCTCCATCAACCCCTCCCTCTCACCATCACCCGTCTCACATCACCTCACTCACCATCACACCATCACCCCCTCTCACCATCACCCCCTCCATCTCACTATCACCCCTCTTTCACCATCATCATCATCACCCACCATCACCCTCCCTCTCACCATCACCCCCCCCTCTTACCATCACCCCCCCACACACTCACAGTAATCACTTCCTATACAGAATCACCCCTTCCTATACAGAGATCCACACACCCCCCCACACAGGGGTCCAATTCCCCACCACACAATCCACTCACACACAGGATCACCCCTTTAACACACACAATGTTACCCCCCTCCCACACACAGAATCACCCCGCTCACACACACTGTCACCCTCCCTCATACACACTGTCAGCCCCTCACACACACACTATCATGCCACCACACACTGTCACCCACAACTATGTTGTGTCACCACACACTGTTAGCATCCCCTCACACTGTCACCTCCCTACACATTGTCAACCCTGTCACCCACGCTCTCTCAATATCACCCCACTATGCCACACAATATCACCCTCCTCCAATACAGTATCACTCCTCTCCCATACAGTATCACCCCCCCACCATACAGAATCACCCCCCTCCCATACATAATCAGCCCACACACACACAGTATCAACCCTCTCACACACAGGATCACACACACACACACACACACACACAATGTCACCCCCCTACCCCACACAGTATTACCCTCACACACACTGTCACCCTCCCTCATACCCCTTCACACATACACACTGTCATGCCACCCACACACTGTCACCCACAACAATGTTGTGTCACCATACTCCCATACACTGTCAGCCTCTCCAGACACACTGTTAGCATCCCCTTACACTGTCACCTCCCCAAACATTGTCACCCCTCCCTACACTGTCATCAACCCCACACTGTCACCTCCCCCCACACTGTCAGCCTCTTCATGCATCCACACTCACATTAACCACTCCTAATCCTGTTAATCTCACCCCCTCCAAACTCACCTGCCCTCACTCTGCCACACTCACCCTGTCAAATTAACTCCCATAATTCTATCACACTCACCTTCTCTCACTCTGTCCCACTCTCCACCCAACCCTGCCACACTTATCCTGTCACATTAACTCCCCTTAATCCTGTCACACTCGTCCCTCCTACCGTGCCACAATTGCCCTGACACACTTACCTCCACTCGCCCTGTGTAGAATATTACTATGTTCCCAACCTGTCACACTCCCTCATCAAACCATGTCATACTCCCTCTACCACATTCTCTCTCACAACCCCCCCCACCCTGTCCCATTTACCCCCTTTGCCCTGCCACTGGTACCCCTTAAACTCACCTTGTCACAGTCACCAGCTGAAGACATTCATCATACACACAAAGTCAGGAAACATAGCTTTGCCATAAACATAATGCAGAGGGCCCCCATACACACAACACACTTCAAGCAGCTACCCCATACACATACGGTCCCAGACAAAAAGGCAAACATGCTCACAGAGACATAGATTCACACACACAAGGATACTCTCTGTCAGACACATACTCAGGCACATCCACAGGTAGACAGTGCATCAATGTGTATATGTGTGCATGTAATACAACTCTATTTTTTTTAATTTGGTGTTAGTGGGGCCCTTTTAATCTTGGAGGGCATCATCAGCAAGGAGTAGCTGATACCCCTCTAAGGATAGTAAGTAAGGGTCCCATATCTGGATTACCCTTTTACATTAGGGGGAACCCTAGGCAATTTGAAGACAAGTGGCCCCAGTGACAGAAACTGCACATATTAACAATAAAATGTTCTACTTGCTGGATGCTGGACTCCTGGCTAACACAACATACAGATTTAAAAATTTCAGTTAGATAATGTAATTTTTAGCCGACATTGTCTCATTAACAGGACACTCTGGCCACTATAACCTCTTGGTCTCATTAAAGTGATTATGGTGCCTAAAGCGTCACTTTAAGCTGAAGCACTATTTTCACCAATTCTCAATTTTATAACCATTACATAACTTTGGAAAACATATGATCTTCACATCCAGGAAGTTGTGTTTTTTTCTGATTACTTATGTGCATAAAATAGAGATGCTTTCATGACAAATATCTTAGACAGGACATCTCTGCTAACATATTAAAACACGTGCTTATAATTATAGTTACAGTCTGTTCAACCAGAAACATATGGGGTTTGATTACTAAACAGTGACTTGGGGAAAAACAACAAAGGAATTGCAAAAATGTAATTGTAAACCTAAAAAAACATTGTTGTTAGTGTAGCCAAGTAGAACTTAAAGGGAAATACTTAACACCATAACCACCATGGCATATTGCAATGGGTATGGTAGAGGGACTATTTCATTACTAATGCCCACTTTTTCCTTTTTTTTATTTTTTGTTTATATTAATTCCACAGGTACAGTTATAAGACAGTGATAGCTAATTCATAGACAACAAGAGCCTCCTGCAATACTTTAGTTTAGAGATAAAGGAATGAGTTGTTTGTTTGTTTGTTTTTTACAAAATTACATGGCAGGGAAAATAAACTAAGAAACACAGACATCCATGATGGTAGGACAAATAGAACGCGCATGCATAAAATTAGAACCGGTCATCAATGTCCCTGGCACAGTTACCATCCCCGTATAATCTGATAAGGAGAAATAGATCAATGGTTGTAATAAGACAGTGATGGAGGGTAGGAGAGCCTGCAGGTAGTAATACAGGCGATAGAGTTTCTTCCATACTACATTAGTGGACATGTGTTTAAGAAAATCCATAAAAACAAGATAACACTGGTAAACAGAACAGTCATATCGAACAAACTATAACAGAAATGTAAGTGAGATTTCCTGGGTGATACACGACTTCTCCAGTACATAGAGCTGCTGATGTGCCATATGGTGTGATTGCAGGTGCAAATAGGGTAATCTGAATGAAAGCAGCTTTCTCTATTTGTTTTCTTTCCTTTCAACTCGTTGCTGTCTTAATCCCTCTTGTAATGGTGCTGGGCTACCCAGCTTTATCTTCTGTCGATGAGATTGTTCTGGTAATCCTGCGTGTGCACATCTCACAATGACACATGGAATGTGTGTGTGCAACACTCGTGCAGAAACAAAAAGGGAAGTGAGATTTCATGATGGGAAATGGTCAGGACAGGTAAGAATTGTGGTAAAAGAAGACTTCAGAATGGAAGACCTAACTGGCAGGACGCAGGTAAGTTGCAAAACCATTGCAGTGAACCAGTGGAGTGCAGTGGTAATGCTTGGAGTAATTGGCAATTGGCTAATAAGGTCTTTAAGAGACTTATGCATTCGTTTTCTTCTGAATTTTGGGCAACTGGCGATTGATCCAAATTCTCGAACGCCAAAGAACTATAAAAATGAATTAGGAAACAACCAAAACCTCCAATGCACAAAACCTTTTTGTGTGATTTGTGATTCAAACGAGTTCTGTTCATGTTGCAAGAAAAAAATGATTGATGGGAAAAAAGTAGATTTTTGGTTAGAGGAAAACCACTTTAAGCGTTATTCACTAAATACCAGATTTTGTTTGTAAGGACAAAATCCGGTGAAAAAGACCGAATTCCAACTGCAACGGCAATAATGTTATTTACTAAAGCTAAATGTGGCTGGAATATGATTGGCCCAAGCAGCTCGAGTCCCAATGACAACATCTATGGCCAGCATGTGGGGGCTATTACATTAAGAAAGAAAGAAAAAACAAACAGGGGGAGGGGAAAATTCAAATGTCTCCTTCCAGTGTTCATTGGGTGGGAGCTACTAAATTTATATTGGTTAGGGAACACAATTTCCCCCAGCCCCAACCCATTATTGGTGGGTGGGGGACTCTAAATATATAATTCAATGGGACAGTGATCTGTCCACGCTGCATTATTTAATTTAAAGTCCCCCAAAGTAGCCCATGGTTACCTTGTTTGCCCAGTCACGATTTATTTATTTTTAATTAAAAAAAGAATATATATATTAAGTAGTGGTGCTGCCGTAGAAACCAAAATGTATACAAAATACAGATTAAAGAACATTGCACACACAAAAATACAGTTTTAAATTTTACAAGGCTACTCAAAATCACCTATCTCTGGACTTAACACGATATGACCATATGGTGGAACCAATTCCCATATTTGTTTGTTGACGTAGGTGATTTTAAGTAGCTTTATAAAATGTAAAACTGTATTTTTGTGTGTGCTCCGTTCCTTAATCTGTATCTTGCAGATGTTGCAGTGCCTGAGGGGGTTGCAAAAAAATGTCACGACTTAAAATGTGAGCATCTTTTTAAATTTCTTTATTGTATTAAATTAGTTTCTGTATATGTTTTAGTGCATCTGTCTCATGTATAAAATTTATAAAATGTAAAAAAAAATGTGTGAACCTCCTTGGAACCTTGAAAATTCAGTGTCAATTTCCTATTTTTTCACTCTATACTGAATAAACCCTTAAGTCATTTATTACTTTTCCATATAACATACATGCAGGCAAGATGCTCTGTTCGTTTTACAGTAGGTTTGCAGTTTGTTTATGGTTAAAGCCTGTAGAATAACATACATGTAGATTAGTTTTTGCCGCCAGCTGTGGGGGCAGTTAACAGAATAGGACATGGAGTAGGAGTAACATTTTCTCAGGTGTTCTTATTCGATTTACCAGAGTGCGTGAGCCGGATCTAAACTCACACTGATGAAAAATCAATGAGGTTAGCATTATGAAGTCTACACGCACAGCTTCGCAATCGCAAGCAGGGAGAGAACGTTAAAACTGATTGCCAGATTGCTTAGAATGTTTTCATTGATATTTGTACATGTTGGGTCCACTGGGTAACTTGTCCTTTATTTAATTATTGATTTAAATGAACTTTTATTGATGCAGCATTCAGTAATGTTAGAATTCATGGGTTTTCTCTAGAAAGAGGCCTTTCACGAGGTTTAGGGGTTTATTTACTAAATACTGAAATGCGAGAAATTTAAAACTAAATTGCAAAATGCAGGTAACATGAGCTGACATTTTCCATCCCGACTATAGCAAGAGCAATTCAGTTTTTAGTGAATAAACTAAAATTGTCAGTAACTATGTAACTAATTTTTTGGGACCGACTGATAACATTTTTGTTTGATGTAGATTTTTAACTCCACAAATACATGCTACTAGCATTACCCATGGCAGATCTATCTAGCACTCCTTAAAGGGGCTCTTCAGGCTGGAATTAAACTATGCTTTATCAGAGTGCATTCCAAAAATGTTTTAGACAAAGAAACATTCATAGTTCATTATCAGATACAGTCTAGCCAAATGCATTCTAAGAATGTTCAAAGTACAACTATCACTCAGCTAAATACATAATATTTAGCATGGAGTCTGTGATCAGCAGTAGTCAGAGTTTAAACATTAAAGGGGCACTCCAGAGCCGGAAAGCACTTTGGCTTGTGAAGAGTGTGTCCTCTTTGCAAAAAGTTCTGATTTCAATAGAAAGTGGCACTTTTATAAATTAACCTTGTTACGCCTCCCTGGTTGTCAATCAGACAACAGGCCATGTTACTTCCAGGTTGCTTGGCTCAGTGGAGCTAAACATAAAAGTCAGGACATTACCCAGAGCACCTGCATTGCAAAGACATTTCAATGAGCTGCAATGGGAAGTCTGTGATTCCTTTAAAATTCCTACATGATCCATGAATCACACACACATATCGAGAGTTAAAAAACCCTCTCTAAAGAAAGTCCTTCCCAAACTCTTCTCTATATTTCAGTGTAGTAAGAACTTGATCTCAAGGCCGATGCAAGCAATGAAAATGTTGTTGAGGCCATGGGCACTAATGTGCGCTTTGATTATTCAACAGAATATTGTACTTGGAACAAAAAAAGATTTTATAGGCATTTTAAAGCAATATCAACCATGTAGGACCATTTCTAATTTATTCATAAAAAGACAGAAAATATAAAAGTGTAGTTTTGTGTAGCAAAGTGATTGGGATAGCTGCACAAACCTGATCAATTTCTATTTTGGAACCTTATAATATATCCGAATATAATATCCGCTGTAAATATATCTAATACATTTTTCATTTTCTTAGAAGAGTCAGGGCACTGCATTATATAGTTTTCATGTTCGTTGTTGGGGAAAAAATCCAGCCAGTTAGTTATACATTATGGTTGCTGTACAATATGATTTATTAATTTGTAATTTAATGGGAAATTTAAATGGCGCAACAGTATTTATAAAAAAAAACAGGTTATATTTGATAACTAAGATTCTAAAATAATCAATCTATAATGGAAGGGACACGTAGCTGAAGCTGAAGATAATTTATATGAATATCATAATTGTTATTTATGAAAGATATGAAAACAATAGTTTTTTTTCAGAACCAGACAGTGGCACTGAATACTAAATACAAATGTATTTTTAACTGAATGTGTACTGCTGATTTGTGTTGCACGTCTCCAAACATAAACTGCAATGTACAGAGGATTCTGTTATCTGGAAACTGTGGTCCCAGTCAGATAGGTTTACATCTCTTATATACACTGTGCCTTCAACACGCTCACTGCATAATGATTTCAACCACTTTCCAATATTCACACATATGGCATCCAAGAAAAAAACAAAAAAAACACTAAACTGGAAAATTGATGAAGGAGCTGCAAACGTTAGACCAAAATAATACAGAAACTGGAAAAATAGTACAGTGGGAAAAATTCTGCCTTTTTGGTCTAAATTCTCCACAAACCAAAGTTTAGTTGGTAACCCCACTGTTAGCTGGTTGTTTGCAAAACATGAATGCATGTTATTAAAATTGTCATTCAGCCCATTTATGCTAACACTCTTTTGCAATGTACAGAACAGCTCCTTACAACTGCCTGGTCCAATTCATAAAAGTGCAATGTCTACATATGCCTTATATATGTATGGGCTCGTTACCTGTCTGGTCATATGTCTCTAATATCCTGGCATCGTGGATATGTCTATGTTTATCCCAATGCACTGAAAAATGGGGAAAAAAAAGAAATTAAAAAAAAAACGTCATTCAGTTAGTGAAAACCGATTTTCACGTTACAAACTTTATTCGTTTTTAGTGTATCCGGGTTTGGCTTTTGATGACATGAATTCTTTATTAACATTCCATGCCGTATTAAAAATAGTGGGCTTTAACACTTCTAGGACAACATGGCATGAAATGTCTTGTTCTGGTGCAATCAGGGTTAAAAATCTCTACTGGGGAGACCCTGGTATTACTCGATACCTGGGGCTTCCCTCTGTCAGCTTGGGTCATATATAGAGGCCCCAGACTGATACTTAAGATTTATGCAGTGCTCAAAGTAGGGTCTCCCTGCATTCCCACTTACCTACAGTGATTGGCGTTGGGCTGTGCCTGTTGCCCAGTACCAATTACTATGTGATCAGCAGAGATTACATGCAGGAGCTGCAACAAGAGATGTATATCTCCCTCTCATGCTGCAATCACATAGCAGAGGGCACTTACTGAGTGCTCTGAATTGTATGAGCTGGAAAATCCCTCTCCTGATGTCAGTACTGGTGTCAGAGATAGAGTTTGGGTTAGTATCAGGTTTAGCTTTTGTGATAGGGAATGATAATTTAAGGGATATTGTAGAGGTAAGGTTAGGTTAGGTGTATGGTTAGAGAGAGCTTAAGCATATGGTTAGGGGGTAGGGCTGGTGTAGGGTTAGGGATAGGATAGAGGTAGGATTGGTGTAGAGTATGGGGTAAGGTTGGTTTACAATTAGGGGTAGGATTGGTGTACAATTAGGGGTAGGATTGATGTAGGGTTAGGGGTAGGATTGGTGTACAATTAGGGGTAGGATTGATGTAGGGTTAGGGGTAGGGCTGGTGTAGGAGTAGGGGTAGGATTGGTGTAGGCAGGGACGTATTTGCCAGAAGGCAAACAAGGCATTTGCCTTGGGCGGCAATTTCCAGGGGGTGGCAAAAAACGCAGCCCCCAAATGCCCAGGCAAATACCTTGTTTATATAGAAAAAAGCCAATACACTCAACCACCCGTGAACAAAGTGATCTGTGTAAAATATATAAAAAACAAACTTAACTTATAGGTACACTGCTTCCCAAGGTTATTTCCCAGCTGATAACCATATAACAAAACCGTGTAAATGATAGGATATTTAGGGATTCTGCTAGTGTACAGATTCCGAATTGGTAAAGCGTTTTATGGGTGCCTCCCCACGATGTAGATGGAGGTTTTTATTAAATATCCCTCCTCGAGTGATAGCCGATGGGGTATCAGGGTCAGCAAGATGATCCAACAGACTCCAACCAGATGAATACTTCAAAGGCAATTTATTCACTCATAATATCAGGAGGTGTACAAATAGAGCAATAAAACCAAAAATAAGAGGATCACCGGTCCTACGCGTTTCGTTCTTATGCAAAAGGACTTCCACAGGGACCTATTTCAATAAAAACAACAATCAAATGTACAATAGCTAACAAGGCATCCTAAAAACGCTACCAAACCAACAATCTTATATAGGGCTAATCCCTTCAAGTCATTGGTGGAATAGTGGGTGTCTTCCCTCTTCTAAACTTCTATTCGTCCGGTATTTTCCTCCAGGTGTGGCTGCTTTTGCCGAGAATGTCAAATTCCTTCCGCATTGATTTCTGCCACATCCGCGCACGTCACGCATTACGTTTTTCATCACGTGACCGGTGTGCGTTCCACACTCGTAAAAACAACATGGCCGTGCGTTCCACATCATAATCATAAAAAGTACAAACTGGAGACCACTATTATTGCACACAGTGGTGATACCCGGGAATCTAAACGAGAGGGCTGTTAAATAGTATATACAAAAGCAGCAGTATAATGATAATAATAATATATCCTCTATAACTAACCAATAACTAAATCCTTTTTAAATCGAATGCAATAACTTCCTATCCAAGTTTACATTCAGTAAAATCATAAATCAACACAATATACATCACAAATCACCATCTATTACAACATTAGTGACTTGATAGTTGTTCTTATTTTAGGTAATATTTAATAAATTTGTGACATAAATGTGAATAAATAAACTTTAAAGTGACATTATTCTTAATTACACATCCATATTGTGCCTACCATGGTTGATTACTGTTAACCAATTTAATAATTTTGCAATTCATTTTTTTTATTTTTTTATTTAAAGGGACACCGTAGGCACTGTATCTGCTTCATCTCATTAAACTGGTTATAGTGTCTGGAGTCCTCTGGTACCATCATTTCTTTCAGCATTAAACAGTTTTTAAACTTTTAATGTTTTAATGCTAAACAAGAGTCCCTGGCAATCCATCCCCTCTGTGCTGCTTTGGCTAATAAGGAAGTATAAGCCTGAGCAGCAATAGGCAGCTGTGATTGGCTGAGAGTGTCAGCTGACTGCTTTTAGCCTGTCAGAGTTCCAACTGACGGTATGAATGGGTATGACAACAAGGAAGTGTATAATCTCTGCCTTATCTACACATACTGAAGGGGCCGGACTGTGGGTGGCCAGGGACTCTTATTTTGATGCATACTGCACGAACATGGTGCAACACTGAATGGAGGGACAGTGCCAGGGCACTCCAGGCACTATAACCAATTCAAAGAGATGAAATGCTTATAGTGACTACAGTGTCCCTTTAATAATATTTTGTCCATGTGGAGGAAATTTATATTTCTCTCTTAAATTAATTCAAAAAGCAAACTATATCCATATCTACATTTAACCCCCTTGGAGTGAGGGTGCGCAATGAATCCAATATGACTCTCTCTGAGTCAATCGTTTCTCTTTGTTGCCCCCTCTCCAATGAACATATCAATAACATCGAATTTGCTCTATCCCTATGCAACGCAGCCCTTTCAGAAAAAATTGTGGGCAACTATTGCAATGGAGGGGGACCGAATGGGTATCAAGTTTCTTCTTAATGTTATTGATATGTTCAAGAAATCTAACTTTCAAACACCTCTTCGTTCGTTCAACATACTGATTGCCGCACGGACATTGGAGCAAGTACACCACAAAGTCCGGGCGGCAGCTTATCTCTGCCTTAATGAAAAACTGTCTCCCAGTGGTAGAGCTACTGTATGCTATGGCTCTGTCAGTATTCACTTGTGAACAAGCCTTACAATTTTTACATCCCTTGAAACCTTTTGCACCCTTCTTATTCTTAAATCCGTTTTTTTAAAGCGTAACTTGGTGCTAATAAGTTCTTAAGATTTAGTTTTTTCCTATAAATGATCTTTGGTTTCTTTGGCAAATGTTCCCCCAAAATGGGGTCCTCCAACAATATTGGCCAATATTTACATAAACTCCTTTTAACCCCTTAAGACCGGAGGGCGTACTATTACGCCCTATTTTAGGCGGCTTTAAACGCCGCCGGGCGTAATAGTACGCCCTCCAGTCTTTCTTTACTTACCCGGACGCCGGCGATCCCACGCCGGCGATCGCGGTTGGGGGGACTCCCAGGGAGCCCCCCCCCCCACGGCAGATCTTCACTCCAGCAGCCCCCTCAGCCATGTGAGAGTGAGGTCCTTGCGAGGACCTCACAATCACATGGCCAGGTAGGCTGGCTGCAGCATTGCCAGCAGGGGGGCTGCCTGTAATGACAGGTACTCCCCCTGCTGGCTGGAAATAAAATAAAATAAATTAAAGGACCACTATAGTGCCAGGAAAACATACTCGTTTTCCTGGCACTATAGTGCCCTGAGGGTGCCCCCACCCTCAGGGACCCCCTCCCGCCCGGCTCTGGAAAGGGGAAAGGGGTTAAAACTTACCTTTTTCCAGCGCTGGGCGGAGAGCTCTCCTCCTTCTCTCCTCCTCTGTTCCTCCCCGCCGGCTGAATGCGCACGCGCGGCAAGAGCTGCGCGCGCATTCAGCCGGTCGCATAGGAAAGCATTTACAATGCTTTCCTATGGACGCTGGCGTGCTCTCACTGTGAAAATCACAGTGAGAAGCACGCAAGCGCCTCTAGTGGCTGTCAATGAGACAGCCACTAGAGGATTAGGGGGAAGGCTTAACCCATTAATAACATAGCAATTTCTCTGAAACTGCTATGTTTATTAAAAAATGGGTTAACCCTAGCTGGACCTGGCACCCAGACCACTTCATTAAGCTGAAGTGGT